AAGAAAGAAAGAAAGAAAGAAAGAAAGAAAGAAAGGAAGAAAATAGAGAGCATATCCTCTCTAAAGCACAAAATGTTATTACCCCCAAGTTAACAGCACCCCACATATCAGTTATGAAGTTTATTAGAAGCGGCAAACTTTAATCCTATAACCAAATTGTAAGATTGAAAAAAAACTTGTATGTAAACACAATAAAGCGCTAAAGGGTAATATTTGTCAACACATTTGCCAATCAAGATAACGAAAAGAGAGATGAGATTACTGGATAGGATGTTATTCTCGCTTTGATGTCGTAGGCTTTGTCAATAATATGAATATTGACAGTTAATTTGTTTAACAGGCGACAAGAGAAGTTTCGACACGAATAAAGAATGAAAGAAAAAGAAAGAGAGAAAGAAAAAATGAGAGAGCAAAAAGAAGAAAGGAAAGAAGGAATTAATTAAATGAAAGTAGGAAAGAAAGAAAGGGAGAAAGAGAAAATTGTTAACAGGGTTGTACATATCGTGTACGTACAAACTTTTAATTCAAACAACAGGAAAGACGAAAGACAGCACGATAGCTAAACAATCTTTCTAAGATAATATTTGATATTGAGCTACAATATTGACTATTGACATAAATATTAAGTAAATATTTGAGACAGTAGTCTACTCGGTGTACGAATTTGGTAAAAATATATCAAGTGAATGTAGTTTGGGCTTAATGACAAATTACGGTTCAGAACTATCGCACCTCACAAAACGGAGGAAGCGCTTACACTGCACTGCATGAATTTTTAACCGGTAACAAATTCGACCTGTACAATTACCGTTTACACGGAATCGTCTCTTTAATTGCATAAAAATTACGTTCTGTTTACACGGAACCGGTTTCGGCTTAGGATCCGGCGAGGCATATGGATTTAAAAAGTTAAAAAAATTTTCGGTAACGTGCAAATGCAACCTGAGACAACGTTATTGTCGTTTCAAAGCATACTTTGCTTCCCTCGTGCTATGAATTTTATTTCTTGACGGTAATTGATTGAAGTGGGAAATGTTTCGAACATTTTTCGGTAATTTAGTTAGGTCTTCCAGCACTGCAGAATTATTGGTAGAGATTTACAAACACGGAAGCCAATGAAGTGTCCAACTACTTTCATCTCATTTGGAAATTGAAGAACATGGAAGCCAATGAAGTGTCCAACCACTTTTATCTAATTGGTTGAGATTAAAGAACATGCACGCCATTTAAGTGTCCAACCACTTCTATCTTATTGGTGGAAACTAACGAACACAGAAGCCAATCAAGTGCCCAACCACTTCATTCCATTACTACGGGTTCATCAATCCTATAAGTTGATATGGACAAGCATGGAAGCCATTGAAATGTCCAAACGAAATTGTGTACTATAAAGATACTTAGTGTCGAGGTAAATTAATAAAACAGAATTGCAAAAGTGGGAAAGTTAACTAACTTGTTTGTCAAATCAAATTTTAATGAACTGCAAGCAAATTTGCGGCCTGTGAGACAATTTTATTGTAAAGATGTGTAAGGTTAACTATTAAGTAATTTAATTCTTTTCTCCTTTAATTTTTCCCATATAATTCTATATTTGTTCCTTTTCTTTTTTTCTTGTTTGGTTTTGATTTTCCTTAACTACTCAAGAAACTCAAGACTTACCATCAAGCTACTCAGTTTTTATTGAATGAACAGAAACAAAGAGGAGGCACTTTAAATGCAAGATCATCATTAGTTACGCTATTTAAAACCGGTGTAAGTGCACATACTAGGAAGCCATTCAAGTGTTCAGCATCAAGCCAAAGTAATCGTATTTAAAAACTACTTAAAATACCTGGGGCACGTAAACTGCAAGTCACGTGATACTTTACCTAAGACGACACCTCAGTCACGTGACATCAGCATGAAAAAAACTAGGCACTTGTTTTGAAGCAAACTTATTTTATAACGTGAGTATGAAGATTATCTCAGCCGCAATCGGTTACTAACCTACTGGAATGTACATATGTAAAATTATATCCCTTGGTATAAATGACCCATGTTTAGATTACATGCACAGCATTCATGACCTTGTGAAGCATTATTTCTTGTATCTTACTTCAATTCTTCACTTAACCGTATTGGACGGTCTAGAAAATATTTGATGTCAAGTCGTGCACGAATAAATGTCTCTACAAAAATGGTAGAGAAAGGCCCCAGTGTTTGGGAAAAGCTCAATTCCAATTTGCTCTGTGAGTTAGCCGTGCCCTGACTTAGATCAGCCCAGAGGTTGTTTCAGGGTTCGATCTGTGAGTTAGCCATGCCCTGACTTAGATCAGTCCAGAGGTTGTTTCAGGGTTTGATCTGTGAGTTAGCCATGCCCTGACTTAGATCAGTCCAGAGGTTGTTTCAGGGTTCGATCTGTGAATTAACCATGCCCTGACTTAGATCAGCCCAAAGGTTGTTTCAGGATATCGATAAAACATGAACGCAGATTTAGATCTCTTCGATACGCGACACAAAAGAGTTCGCTCTGTATTTTGTAGGATACTGACAGCCAGATTACTTTTCTTGTGAACCATTCATCAGGGGTCTTATAACGAAGGTGAACCATAAGAACGGAATTGAGAATTTTTGGAATATAATATTTATTTTATCTTGTTAGGCTCTTGAAGAGTAATGTTGATTCGACATTAACCCGAAGAAAAATTTAAGTTTTATCAATATTATGAGTTTATATTCCATTGTGTTTTTAATGGTGCATTAACGAAGCTATTAATCAATTGGGATTGCGACGAAAAAGAATTGAAAATGAGATAAAGCGGGGCTAAAAAGCAAAACAAAAAAAGACGAAGTAAGTCTTCTAATTTTAATGTCAAGACAAAAAATTAAAACAAGAAATCCGGAAAATACTTTCTTATTCCTGAAAGATAACGTGTGCGGTAAAACGATGGGTTTTTTAGATAAATATTTTATAATCTTCATATTCGTTTGTTGATGGCTCTTGACAATCGTCGGGCGGGAAATGAAAAAAAAACAAAAAACGAAGTCTTGCGAAGAGCAATTTTTTCTCCTTTCGGAATTGACATTGATAGAAGATTAAAGATATGTCTTGAAAAATGTTTCGCGTCCTACTGCGTCGAAGAAGTAGATTCCATGCAAGGTTGGAGTGGAACTTAATTCAACGCAGCAGGAGTCAACCCTGGCGCGCATCAGGGAAGATAAATGGTAAACAATACACTGAATTTCAAAACTACAGTCCAGTGTTAATGAAATAGCCTCGAAATGAGAATATAATCTAAGGTAATGCGCACTTGCATTAGGATTAACAACACGCTTTTATCTTTAGCGTCCGGTGCAATCTTTATTTGCGCGTTTAGCTCATCTAGGAGTGAACACAGACTGCGTCTGAAAGGAATTTCCCAAGGATACAGCATTAATACTTAAAGAAGTAAGAATTTTCAAGTGGAAACAAGCTCAATCTTAAACAAGAAAAAAGGTTTTCGTTGTATTTGACAGCTACTGATATAGTACTTGTTGTAATATTTAGGTTACTTGGAAACGATTTTTTTTTGTCTTGAGTCAGAACTGAGTGACGCAAAATATGATATCGTTTATTGATCTTTCTCCTGTTTAATTTCATGCTCTATGCGGTAAGTATTTTTTATTCTTTATCAGCAAATTGCTGAGGATTCTTGGCCTCAAAGGTTAAGTATAATGAATGGTTCTTTTATTGGTGCCAAGTTGAGATAGTCACTTCAAAATACCAGATGTGGTTGACTACTGTTCAGAGTGTGAAGCCCTCGTAGGTTCAGATCATCAAACCATCAACATAGTAGTTGCGCTTTTCTTTCGTTCCTTCCCGTGCGCTTTTTTGATCGATGTGAACCTCTCAGCTAAAGAAAACATGTTGGTCTTGTTCAAAGGTTTGCTCACGCAGTATCTAAGATGCCACTTAAAGGCTTTGCGAAACTCATCGCTAATCAATGCGTAAATGACAGGATTTGCTGAACTATTACACACAAAAGCCAACACACACATTTTAAAGAATATCAACATGTATTTGATTCCCGAGGTATCAATAAAGATATCAACTACCCGGTAAATGTTATACGGCAACATCGTGACGACAAACACTAACACCACCGGAGTGAGGATTCGTAGTGCTTTGAAGTTTTTCTCGTTGAAGGAGTCTTTGTCAGTTTTGTTCAGGAGGCCTGATTGACGGCGAATTTGATGTCGCAGTCGGATACTTTCACGCAGTCGTGCGCGAATCTTGACGTACGTAAAGAGTATGATAGAGATAGGAAGCATGTATGTGATAACAAACAGCTCCATCTGGTAGATAGCAAAGTATAGCCACTTTTCAAACTTTGGGTAACAGTAGTGCTTGCCTTGAAAGATGACAAACTCCATGCTGAAGAATAGAGGTACGACGAGTAGCAGGAACGATGAGACCCATAAACAGAAAATGATCACCTTGGCGCAGTTGGCCGCACGATTTTGATTGGGGCTGCGTCCCGCGACTATCCCACGATACCGGTATATGGCAATGACTGTGATTGACGCTATAGAGACGCCATGGAAAACATCGCTTAGCGGGTAGAAAACCTTACAACCAAACCATCCAAATGGCCAACTGATGCCTTCTGTTCTTATCAGACCAAATGGAAAACTGAACAACAAGATTCCAAGGTCCGCGATAGCTAGGTTTAAAATGAACACATAAGCTAACGATTTGGTAAGCCGTTGTCGAACGACCACCACACAAACGAGAATGTTTCCAACGACTCCTATAAAGAAGATGATTCCCTCGATGATTAGACGGCCGATTGTGAGTCCAAATGGCTCTTGTAGGAAGTGATGGAAGGAGCGAGATGAGACATGGGTAGCATTGCTGGATGCATTCGTTGAGTTCATAGTGTATGAGCAAGTCATAACCTAACGTCTATTAAATAGGGGATACGTTTCTTTCCCGCAATGAACAAGATGACTACTATATGTACCAAAGTATCAACATCCAAGGTGAACCGCTAGAAGTGTTATCAAGCTCGCAATATCACCATGAGCAAAAACGTTTGAAAGGAAACCAGTAGCAGTTGAGCAAAGTAACAACACTTCACCGCGATGAATGACAACTTTTTCTTGTTCCTCGTCTGCGACAGGTCAAACCAGAAATAATAGACAAGGAATCGTGAAAACCCTTTACAAATGGACGGAATGTGCCATTTCGAGCAACACACGCCTTAAGTTGTTGAGAATTTGACAAATTTAATAGCCTCTACATCCAGTTTTTCATCTTACGTTTATCAACACAACACCAGTGAGGTCATCTCAGAGCACGCGATGTCATTGGCTGGGGCGACACTCATGTCAAGTCCACTTCTTCCGCAATAAAGCCAAGTTGAAGCCGCACTAGTCTAACGTTTTCAGATATATTAATCACACGAGATTAAAATATAATGAAGACGATCATGAGGGCGTATGTAAACAACACGATTTATCTGGAAACCAGAAAGGAGAAGAAAAAAAAAAAAA